ATTACTACCACCCCCACCTCCACCTCCACCTCCACTTCCAATGCCAGCTCTGGGTCCAAGATCATCAAATAGTCTATCGGAATCTTCGACAACACGATCCAATAGATTAATGTAGTTATGTGGTTCGCCATCAACAACTAATAATTCAGCAAAAGCAACCGTGAGAGAACCACGATCACCATCATTTCCACATCCATCGAGAAGATCTGCCAATAATTTGATGATTGCGATAAATGCTCTCCTATTTTGTGGTGCCATCTCTCCGAATATCAACCTCACATATTCATTGAAGTCTCCAGGGTAAAGGTTAATAGATCTTTCTTGCAAAGCGTCAAGAGATTCAAGTGACATGACGGACCCCATCTGTTCCTTCCATGCCAATCGTAAGAACTTCTCAAAAGCCACAAATATGACATCAAAAGAAGTCTCCGAAGCTGCTCGAGTATCGAAAGGGTTTTCAATAAAAGTATTATATAGAGCATTAACAGCCAATTCGTCAGTAGCTCCTCTAGTTCGTAAGTTCTTTCCAACCACATTTCCTTTTCTTGATTGTAGAGCTGCAATGTAACCAGTAAATGTTTCTTCCAGTCGAACAAGTGGATTAATGGGTCTACTGTCTTCAAATGTAGCTCGAACGCCACCTTTGCCATCCAAATCTTGTATGGAGTGTAAAGATCTATTACTACTGGTTCGAACAATTTGTGGTGATTCTAATGACGGAATTTTACCCATCATGATAGGTCGTGAGATTTTATTAGGAGATGCGAATCCATTAACATTCGTAGGTGAAGGTGATGCAGAACTTCCAAAACCACTATTAAGTAAACTAGAGAGCATTTTGACAGGAGAATGTGGTCGATATGATTTCGATTTATCACCCTCGCACAAAACATCGATAGACTTAAGGATTTTGGTGTAGAAGGACGTAAAGGGCGCAGATAAAGATGGGTTACTGATTTGATGTTGAAGTCGAAGTAGATCAGTTACTGAATTTGTTAGCAAGCCCTAAGAATTTCAGGCAAGAACTTACCTCTCTTAGCAAATGTCATCATGAAGTACTCCGGAAGTACCTCATCCACATATACCCTATCATTAAGTCCATCTATCTCAAGTCTATACTTCTCACCTCCTGCGAGCGTTGTAACATTTGCCACGATATCAACACCGTAATGACCGACAGGAGCACCCTTTGTACCTTTCTCATGATCGACCACTAGACGAACAGGAGCGGGTTCTCTACGACCTTGAATCAAATTATCTACACCCTCGGCGAAAACCGCAGTGTAAAGGCAAACTCCAGCTGGCTTCATGGATCGTAGACTCCACTTATCACTTTCGCGCTCAGCCTCGGAAAATCTTCCCTCAAGTCTAGCTTTGATTAACTCTTCGCCCAACCTAGAAGCCTTAGCTTCGTACGCGCCTTGCAGTACAAAGTTTCGGACCGTGGCAGCTTGATTGCGATTTCGTCCCATGTTTGCGTCTCTCAGCTCATGCAAGGAGGTCAACCAAATACATCGATTGTCATCGGAAGAGGTAAACTTGGTATCGCCAAGAACATGCCAACCAGTAAATGAAAGGTCAAAGATATGTTTTTGTCCACCAGCAGCTGCAGTAACCGAAGCCATCATAGTCTGTGCAGAAGGTTTGTCGATCTCCGCCATGACACCTCGAGCTGTTTGTAAGCAATCCTTGTTCTTCTTCAACAAAACAATACAATCTGCGAAGAGTAGTAGTATACCTTCCTTGGGACTCCCTGCACCATGACCGGGAGTAGTGCAGAAGTGATAAGGGGCCGGTAACTCAATAGTATCAACAGCAGTGATTAAACGTCCTTGTGGATGTAATGTGGAAGGCCAAGCATCAACTAGACACCTCAATCGATTCACAACTTGTGATTTATCAGTGGCCGGTGGATCAAGTGAACATATCGAAGTAATGATATCCCTCGCCTTCAGCATCGGTTGTAGAGCCGGATGAAGAATGGGGAGTGAATTGACGATATTGTCAATGAAGAGACTATATCTCGGTAATCTCTGAACTGGTTCGATGACAGCAGATCTCAAACGTTGCTCCCCTGTCGCTTGTACTCGACTTGAGAAACTACTCGGTTGTTTCATGAAGCTCGAGATAATTTGTGCGCAATGATTAGCTGGCTAGCATGGATATATTGTTGGTAGCTCTTGGCATTTGATGGAACCATTCGAGCAAGACTTTGGCAAAGGCCAGTGCACCAGTAGGGTCCTTCAGACGACCCGAGCCACCATATCGAGAAGAGGTGGAGCTAACCACCGGTGCCTCTAGGTCTTGCATAGCTTCTTCCTCGGTTTCATCCATCACTTTACGAATCGCCGATAAGAAGGCCGAATTAATTTGTAGGATCCTATCCAAACATCGTGGAAAGAGCTTTTGTAAATCATCTTCTGAAGGACTGAAGCTTCCAAATGCTCGACTCTTGGCCTTGGCTCGAAAATCATCCGCAATATGATTGACCAGTTCATGCATCTTTATCACGTAACGCTCCTCCGTATCCACCAACTCTCCCATCTCCCGTCGCAAAGCCAACTTTTGATCTTTGAGGAATGATCGACTTCGATTCAATGATGTAGGTCTCGAAGGAGCTCGGCGGATTCTCGAAGTTGGAAGAAATGTCACTTCTCCAAAAAGCTTCACCAATGATGCATACGATCCATACTGCTTCAGCGTAAGATCCGGATATTCCTCTTCATCCAAATCCTCCTCCGACTCTTGTAAAGGCGATATCGAACCGGGCGGAAGAACCAAATCCATATCCACATAATTAATATTTTGTATTCGCAAGGCTGCCTCAATATCAGCTGTAACTTCCGCGACATTCTCCACCCTCACCATCGAACTCGCCAGATCCGCCGCATGTTGTTCGCCGAATAATTTTGGCGCCGAACCGGGTCTTTGTTTTCTCGAGGTATTCGCAACTTGTAAGATTAAACCACTCTTGACCACCTCTGGTAACTCTTTGAAATATTTGAATAAACCGAATGCTAGACCGCGGCATACTTCATCGCCTTGTTTATCGCGCGGCAGATAATTTACAGATTGGTATAGCGGTGAGTTTGGTGAAATGGTGATGCGCTGGTACGTTTGAAAACCTGCAGCGGTGAAGATGTGAAGTTGAATTCGCGAACTATTGAGGGTAGAATTTGGTAGTGGTAGAACGGACCATTGATATATGACGACGGGTAGATTGGAGAGATGAGGGATCGTGGGGTGTAGTAGAAGACTTAGAATGTTTCGAGGGACAAAGCTAGCTTCAT